TTTTAAAAATGAGGGACCGAGGAGATGGCTCAGTAGAATAAGCGCTTGCCTAGCAAGCCCAAGTGTCTCAGTTCAATCCCTGGTTCCACCAAAAAAGAAAAAATAAATAAATAAATAAATAAAAATGAATGAAACAGGGTGTGGTAGTTGGAGACTGTAATCCTGGCACTCTGGGAGGTTGAGGCAGGAGAATCATAAATTCTATCCCAGTCTAGGCACTGCAGTGAGACCCTGTATCAAACCACAAACTAAAAAGGTCTGGGGACATATCTCAGTACAAAGGTTCAATCCCAGTGTGGAAAGGAAAAAAGAAAAGAAAGAAAAGTCTATTTAACCATAACTTGAAATGTTCAAAGGATATGCTAGATATGAACAACTGCCCCAATTTTTACAGAGTAAACTTTAAGTGTGGTACAGAAATTCATGATCTGCTTCCTTAAGGCCGGCCTGGACTTTTGCCCTGGATTACACTGGGAGTAAAGATAAATTAGCAACACCCTGCATTCATTTCGCATCAACTGCTAGCAGTCCTGGGCCCTCAAGACCTCATTCTCAGAGCAGCCCTTCAATGGCTAAGCCGGCTGCTCGTTCTCTCGGCTCCTCTCCATGCCCAGGTTTCTTACCCTACAGTAGAGTCCACATTATGCTGGGGATTACTATCTTATGAAAGCCTGAAGCAATCTATTTCTTTAACCTTACAAGATGATACCAACTGTCATCTGCAGTTTTTAGAAACGCCCACCAGTGTGGCACCTTCTCCTCTCTACATTGCCCTTTGAGTCTCATCCACTCTTCTGTGACCAATCAAGTGTTCAGAAGACAGAGGTGGGCTGTTACCATGTTGTTGGCCCAGGCGATCAGATGGCCCCTCCACTTCACGCTGCGGATGTTCCCTTCCCCTTCGTGCAGGACAGAAGACTTCCACCTGTTCATCCAGGATCGCTCGAACAGCAGGAGCTGGGGACAACAGCGGCAACACAGATTTTCAAAAAAAAAAAAGCACCATGCACTGGAGTCCCTGATTGCTATTTCTGCCTGTCAATGGGGTCATAACATTTTTATTGTACATTTAGAATAGATGATCTATAGTTTGGAAAGAACTTCTGGCATATTTTACCCTGCTCAGCAAATGGCAAGGATTTGGATACTGAAGTTATGACACAGCCACACCACTAGATGGCACCAAAACACCAAAAGTCACAGGAGTTCATCCAATCCAGCATTGTGGAGTTCTTCAAATGACTGCCTAGGAACTAATTTATTTCATAAACTGGGATATCAAAGCCTCCTAAGCTTTTCACTAAAACAAAGACATCAGTTATGGGCTAAGCCACAGTAGTTGGAATCAGTCTATGTTTTTCATTTAATCCAAGAAAAAAAAATGATTTGACAAAGCAGTAATTCATGTCACAGAATAAAGGAAATTAGTTTTCAAAACTTCCTAGCAGCTACTATTTTCATTTAAAAGAAAGATACTACAACTGCAAAGCTAGTGGAAAAACTTTAAAGTAACATACATCTGGTCACATGCTTCTACTAGTGCAGAGGTCACCATTCTAGAAATTTATGCATCATTATGGGTATAAGAAAATATTTAAGGGGCCGGGGAGATGGCTCAGTGAAATAAGTGCTTCCCTGGCAAGCACAAAGGCCTGAGTTCAATCCCTGGTTCTGGGAAAAA